GGCTGCGCGTGGGCCCGCTGCATCCGTGTCCACCTCGAACCGCGCGCGTGCACCGCGTCCCTCCCCCGCCCGCGCGCGTGCGCCGCGTGCTCGCTCCGCACGGTGAACCGTGTCACCGACAAGCGGGTCCCACCCGGGACCACGCGAGGTGAGCCCGGTCCACCGGCTCTCTCTCTCCTCCCTCCCGCGCGCGCGTTGGGCCGCCTTGGGCCGGCCGGCCCATTAAGCTCGGCCGAACCGCCCTTTCTCTCGGGCCGCGCCCTAGCCGCCCGAGGGAAGTCTAATTTCCCTCCCTCTTTTATTTTATTTTCTTTTCTTTTTCAAAAAGGATTTAATTAAATCCTTTTCCTTTAGACCAAAAATCCAATAATCGTAGAAATTCAATATCTCCCCAACCGTAAATCCGTTTGACTCCGTTCAACTTCCAAAATTCCTCAAATCTCGAGATCTATCTAATGGCACACTTAGAGGTCATTAATAGGGCTTTATTTTTGCCGTTTGTTGAGTTGTCCCGTTCTGCGTGTACTTTCGGAGCCCGAAGACCCGCAGTGCGAGGAGTTCGAGGATCAAGCTCCAGATCTCGAGCAAGGCAAGCCACCTTTGAACATCTTGAGCCTATATTTGAATTTAATTATGTTGCTTGAAAAATATTATGCATTGATAGGATCGCACTTAATCTGTTTGTCCCGTCTGCAAGGCAGATTGGCGAACCTACCTAGTTTGTTGCATTTGATCCTTCCTTTGTTAATTGTTATCCCATGTTCCCTTGTAACCACCCAGTTGCGCCTCGGAAATCGTGCACTCTGCACGAGTATCGACGGCCGCCTTCAAACTTAAAATCTGAAAAACATCTTGGGTAAAACTTGGGTCTTACAAAAAACTTGGAAAACCCGACACCTGGGTCGGTGCTTGCGAACTAAATGAATTTCCAAAACCGCGGACCGGGGAACATACCGGGTGTACGGTTTCCCGCTCTTGCACTTAAGGACCGTTTTCCTTGGAATTTCATCCGAACATAAGACAAGTACGACCACATGGGTGGAATGGGACACCCCTGGCTGAGTAACTAGCTTATCAGGGGAGCCTTGATGCCGAGAGACATGTGGATTCGCCGGGGTGGTGTCGGGGAGGACCCCTGGGCTTCCTGGCACAGTATGGTCTGGGACCTAACCTGTTGTTGGTCTGGGACCCCTCTCGTCGGCATATGGTAAACCTGTGTCGGCCTTGGAAATGTCTTGTCATGAAAGCTTGGAGGTCTCCCGATGTGGCTGATCCCCACGGGCTGGGTGATCCGGGTTAGTAATGTCGTGCGGGTAAAGTGTACCCCCTCTACAGAGGTTAACAAACTGTTCGAACAGCCGTGCCCACGGTCATGGGCGGATGTGAGGTGATTCCTAGCGTAGTTTTGTTTGACTACTGCCTTGTGAAATTGCTGTTGTGAAAAGGGGATCGTTGTTTGGAAAATCTGCAGCTGATGGGATCAGCTAGGCCCGGGTGGCCGTTTGAAAGATGTTGGCCCGGGTGGCCGTTTGAAAATTGTTGGCCGGGTGCCAATCTTGATCAATTTTAAAGACTGATACATTGCACATACTCCGACCGGACGAGACGCACTGTCTCATCTGTGTCGTTTGAGAAGCACTCACTTAGTTGTTTCCAGAAAAGAGTTCAAATAAAAATCAATTGCAAAAACAACAGCCCTTTCTTTGAAGCCTGCATTAAACACTTATTTCCCATGGCTTGCTGAGTACTCCCGTACTCACCCTTGCTCTATATAAATAATCCCCCCCCCAGTTGCTGAAGAAGATGAAGCGGATCCTGCAGATGAGGAGTTCTTCCAGGAGCAAGCCGGCTACGATGAGTTTTAGGGTTTCGGCCTAGTTCCCAAGTCGCGCCTGTGTTGTTTGATCCAAGTCCTAGCTTCCGCTTCCCTTTTGTAATGCAGTTGTGAGCTCGGGATCTGTCCGCAGCCCAACATGACTGTACCTCTACTCTATAATAAAGAGACCTCTATTGCTGTGATAATTTGTCTTCCTGTGATACCAGTACTGTTTCCTGGGACTGGTATCGATTAACAGGTTAATTTGGAGCGTCACGGGCTAGATCCGGTCGGTACTAGTTCAGGGCGTGACACAAGCACAAGTCAATTCTACCATACTATATGTAAGGCATATATTCAAAGGAAGGCAATATGTAGTTCATTTTCAGCATAAAGCAAGTTTTGTTTCGCAATTCTTTTGTAAAGGAGTTGATGCTTCAATTAACAAATCAAATTTTAAGTTTCAATATTAAATTCATCATAATTCCATCATAATCAATCTCTTGTTGTCATCCTTTGACAACAAGTCATAATATATCACCTCACACACACAACTCAACACATCTATCAATTTCAAACCAATGTCACATGATCACATTTTTAAAACATAGTCTATACTCATGACACATCACCAAAGCGCTCATGACCGTGAGCACGGCTAATCGATTAGTTTAAAGAACTCTGCAGAGTTTGTACAGCTTTATCCACATGATATGAACTCTCTAGTTTGTTTTGAGTTTGCAAGACTCCACCACACTCTTCATTTTGAATTACACTACTTAGAGCCTAGCCTTGCACCAGCACGATACGTGTTCCTCCATCCTAGGCATACTTGAAATATACCTAGAACCGTTAAGTGGTGGGCCCACGCCTTAAACTTAATGCCGTGGTGGCGGACACGACGGGAACCCACCGCACAATACCGTTGTATTGGAAACGCTTAGTCACCTAAACTACCACGTCAGGGTAAATAGGAAGCTCCTCTGAATTATACGAACTCATACACACCGACCTACCAGAATGCAAGGCTAGTCCTAAATAGATTACTCAGCTTAGGCCATCTCATACTAGCACATGTGGATGTACGAATAACTTTAAATGGGTGACACAAGTTCGGTCCTTATGGACTTGGGCAAACACTCCCCCTATCGGTATGCAACTAACACCATATGCACACCACTTGCCGCCCAAGTATAAAATCACATTTTACACATTTTAGTTCGCAAATACCCATCATATTTATTTTATTCCAGCAAAGGTTCATGTATCAAAATCATATTTTAATTATAGATGGAATGAGCATTTGCATAGTTGTAAGCATGGCTAAGCAAGTAGTTGCAAATAGAGCATATATAAACCCATTTGAGCACAAAGAGTGTACTCTAACCATTTCTAGGGGTTCAAACAGCAAGAGGATCAATTATTCAAGGTGGGGTATGCAGCAAATAGGTCATAACTACCTTAACCCAATTTCAAATACCGATATAGTCTAAGTTCACATGCAACTTTGCAAACAAATATTTTCATTCCTCAAATCATGGGATTCAATGTGTTCAAAGGATGGGAGGAGAAAACTTGCCTTGATCAGAGAAATGTTAGCACCTAATCCACTCCTTCACCGATTATGCAATTATCTAGATAAAGGACACGTTATGCAATTAAACACCGAAATAGCTAAAAAATCTAAAATGCTCTAAAATGCATGATTTATGCACAGTGATTAGGTACTGATCTAAAATGAATTTTAGGTGAAATAATTTTTATTTTATCTTATTCCATTAGGGAGTTATGAATTTTAGAAGTTTTATCGATTTATAGTAGTATAGTCTTAGGTAGTGTTATGAAATACTTTTGTAAAGTGATTTTTACTAGATTAGACTTCACAGGGGTGTAGAGATGTGTTTTATAAGACTAACTCATTTGGTTTCACAATTTTTGGAGTTACAATGATTTTCTTATAGATTTTACAAGTTACAACGTGTTTTAGGCATATAGTGTTTTATATGTGCATGACTCTCAAGTTGTAGGTTCAGAACATGCTACTTCCTGTTTAAGTTGAATAAAAGGAATAATTTGGTTAACTAAAACATTTTTAGTTCACATGTTTATGGTCTTTACTACTATGGTTCATATTTTATAAACTAGAGATGCTATAAACTAAACTAGCAATATATTATATTAACCTAGAAATTGTTATATGAGCTAAGTTCTTCTAAGTTTTAGTGGATGGGGATGGAACTATGGCCTCTCTGGTCTAACAAGTTTTATTTTGGTTTATTCATAGCTAGAATGCATTTTTTTAACTACCTTACACATATATTTTGCTTAACCATTACTAGGTGATTAACTCCTAGGTTATCTATTTAAAGATTAGAGCTATAATATGTTCAAAAGGTGCAATATTTTATTTTACTATGTTGAAGCTCACTATTTGCTGGTTCTATGGAAATTTGGTTCATTTCATTTGGACTAAAGATGAATTTTCTACAAATTTTACAAAGTAAAGGTTGCTCTATCTTGGTTATTACTTACATAAATATTTAAAGGCTTTTATTACATAGTAGGTGTATAATTTTATTTCATGGAAGTATACGTTTTGTTGATTCTACAGAACTTGGGTTTACTCAAAAAGGATCTAAGATGAATTATGAATTTTATGTGAATTTCTAAAGTTCAGCTTACCTAAAACTAGTCATTTTAAAGATAATAGTTTCAGAGGCATTTGATCTAAAGTATGTATACAATTTCATTTTACTTTATAGGAAAACATAAGTTGGTGGATCTATAGAAACTGAGTTTGCTATAAAATGAGTTGAGATGAATTTTATATGCATTTTATAAATTTGTGTATGGTTTATGTATGATTTATCTTAGACCAATTTTAGAGACAAAGTTTGTACAGTGAATGTCTAGTTTTATGCAATAACTCTAAAGTTCTTGATTTGGTGAGTTCACAGAAATTTGATTTACTCTAAAATGAGTTGTTTTCAATTTTTTATGGATTTTATAAGTTTACATGTTTTCCTGTTGAAAATATAAAGCTTTTAGTATTATCTTTTTACATTTTCAGATTTTAAACTCATGGGGTCCACCTGTCAGTATCAGGCCAATATGCAAAAAGGCCCCTAGGATTTTCAGGAAATCAACCCGCAGTCCTAGGTCCATATGTCATTGATTGGGAACATTACGTAATGAACCTTATAGTTATTTAAATTCTCAAACTGAAGTCCCTGACTCCTTTTTCACACGCACAGAGGCAGAGCAGCCATGGCTGAGCTCGATCCCGGGTTCACCGGCGGCGATTGGTGGCTCGGTTGGAGTTGGGGTTAAAAGATAAAATGAAGAGCATGTTCTTGCGATTCCATTCCTCTAGTTTTCTTGGTCAGAGGACATCGGAGTAGCGCCGATGGCGAGTGTGAGCGGCGGTGGTTCTTGGGGTGAAAGCTCATGTGTGCATGGAAATCGATTCCGAACGATGCATGCATGTGGTCTTCTAGCCTTCAGGATGCTCACCGTGGGTCGAGCTAGGGTTTTCGAGGTCTTGGCGGCAGCGGTGACTTGTGGAACGGCTCGGCGACGGTGCTCCTCCTCGGGTGAACGACGACGGCTCGAACGGGACGATGAGCTGCTACAAGCAAGCATGCACGAGGTTTGTGAGGTCAAGGAGATGGTGTATGCGCGAGGAATCGAACAATGGCTCACCGAGGCAGCGGTAATCGACGATGACGGCGGAGGCGATTCTAGATCGGCGCCGGTGAAGAAAAGATGCGTTCTCCGAGTCCTTCAAATCTCCGGCTGGGGTTCTTGAGGCGTATTGAAGAGGAGATTGAGGCGATGACGATGGCACAACGGCTTGCTCCGAGGTGGTCAAGAATGGCCGGACGACGACGATGGTTGAAGCGGCGGCGCTCCGGTGCGTGCTCCAGGGCGTCGTCGGCGTGGTCGCGTTCCGGTGGCTGTGATGCACAAAATGGGACGTGGTCAAAAGAGAAATGGTTCGGCATTGTGTGGAGAGAAGGGAACGCGAAAAACCTGGAGATGAACTTTACCCAATCAGCGATGGCGATGGTCGTCGTTTCCACGGCCGGCGGCAAGGTTTGGGGCGATGGAGAGGCAGAGAACCTCCTCCCTCGGTTTCTTCGGCTCTGAGTGGTGAATGGAGAATGGCAACGCGTCTGGGAGGAGTAGAGAGTGAGAAAAGGGAAACCGAGATCGACGACACGTTGCGGCCACGCGTCGGCTCGCTCAATCTCTCCCTCTCTCGGCTGGAGCAGTGGAGGAAGTGATGGACAGAGTCAAGGCAAGCTTAAGAGGCTGTCAGGTGGGTCCAGGTCGTGGCAAACTAGGCTAGGGTGAGAGGGTTGGGTAAGATTCTGGGTAAACTTGATTTTTAGATCATTTTTCGGAATTATTTTCTCCTCTAACTTTGTAGCTTCATAACTTAATGTGTGGACCAAATTATCTAGTGTTGAATTTACTGGAGGTAAATGATTACACCTAGATTCCATTTTCTTTGGTTGCACTCAAAAATAATGGGTAGATTAATCACAGAAATTAAACAAAGATGGGCTGTTAGAAAGCTAGATTGAATTTTTAGGAGGCCTAAACAGAGGAGGAAAATTCTAGAAAAATTATATTTAGGCATGATAAATAATCTAGTATTTGAATAAATTATTTTCCATCTTCACTTATGAGCAGTTAAATGTACTTTTGGATGAAGTATGACTTTAGCCGATTAAAATTTAATTTGATTCCTTTTAGTTTTCTGCTTTGACTGATTAATTTGTGGTATTAAACTTAGTTATTAACTTGTACCAATATTATAGTGAATTGCTTGTGCTAAACATTATCTATCTAATTTTTTTCCATGATTTTAACTTGCACATAATATTTTAGAGAATTAGGATTACTTTACTTTGTATATGTGTTCCCACTTCATAATTGCACCTAATATTGTTACAGGGATTACATTAAACTTCTTTTGGGCTGAGAAGATGATATTTGAGTTTAATATTAAGTCCACATGTTATCACCCAAGATTAACTTTTGTTTAGTAATTTTAACCCTTTTAGTTTATGCTCATGAGACATATTATGAAAAGCAAGACCAAAATCCAAATGCACAAGAGACTCGAGCCTAGGCATGCATTATGCACATGTATGCTCATATACTTGGTGACATTTCTAGTCTAATGTTGGGAATGAAAAGGTTTTATTTTGTTCTCAAATTTTAATCATGCAATGATTTAAGTTGGTCATCACCTAAATTAAAACGGAAATTTTTGACTCTAAAAATTGGAGAAGTTAACCTCTAACTATTTTGACAAGAAATTTTAAGTCCTGAAATTTTGGGTATGTTACAAGTAGCCCCCGACTTCTCTCTCCTTTCCTTGGAATTCGCACCGGCGGAGGTGCGTCTATTTAAGGGAGTTTTGGGGATCCCATTTGAGGTCTGCCTGTTGAAAAAACTCTCCAGCTTCCAAGCGTCCCTCGTCTTCTTCGCTCCCGCAAAAAACCCTAGCCAACTCGTCTCGGTCCTTTCTCCGGCGATCTTCGGTGGCCATGGATCTCGACAAGTCTACCTCCACCAGTGCGTCACTGAAGAAACTGCAAGAGGATGGCGCCCTTCCCGGTCGCGGGACCGCGGAGAGGGAAGTAGGAGGTACTGAACCCCAGCCTGTCCTGGGTCGCATGGTTGCGGTTGAGGACTTTATTCTCTGTGGTTTTCTTCCTCCGCCTTCTGAATTTCTCCTTTTGGTCTTGAATTTCTATGGTCTTTCCTTGCTCCATTTGAACCCCAATTCCATCGCCTTCCTGAGTATTTTTACGCATCTTTGTGAGGCCTACATTGGGGTGGAGCCGTTTCTTGACCTCTTCCGCTTTTACTATGAGTTACGCTGGATGGAATCCAAAAAGGTGTCCGGGTGTGTTGGTTTCCGACTTCAGGATGGCCTGAAGTCGCGATACATCCCCTTTCAGTGCCTCACATCTCGCAGCAAATAGCGGGGGAGGTGGTTCTATCTTCAGATAGAGGATTCGGATCCTGTCTTCGTTGTACCTAAGGAACAGCCAGACAAGATTTCATCTTGGACCACCAAACCCGCCTTGACCCCGTCCCTCCAATCTTTCATCGATATCATTGACGACCTCCGAGAACGGGGGTTGTCGGGGTATGAAGTTGCTGCCGACTTCATTGGTAGGCGGATCCAGCCGCTTCAGGCTCGAGCCCATCCTGCCTTTGATTATTCTGGGCCAGAGGACGCGACCCGGGTTTCTCCTCAGGGTATTTCCTTTTTAGTTAAATTGACTCCCTTATGTTCATGTTTTTCCCGTCTTATCGGATTCTGTTCTCAATCTACAGGCTTGAATAGCGCAACCGTGGAGCGCCGCGTCCGCCAACTGATAATCAGCGGCCCGACAACGGCGAGCAACGTCCCCGTCCTCCTTTGCGAGAAAGGGGTAGCCGAGCGCGACGCTGCCATCAATATAAGTGTACTTAGCTGTCCTTTTGCATCTTTCTTCCGGGATCACATTATGACTTCATGAAACGTTGGCTCTCCCTCTGACTGATATCATCGGGTCGCTCGTGGACCATCAGGTGGCGGCGTCGCTGAAAGAGAAGGTCGCCAAGGAGGGGTCTGACGCTGCTGTTGCCACTACCACGACGAGTGGCGGCGACGTTCCGAAAAAGGGGAGGAAATTCTCCTCTATAGTCGGACATCGTCGGAAGATACCCACTCCCTCAGTAAGTTCACCCGTTATTTGATCACGTAGTCGGAAAACTTCCACCTCACATCATATCGATTGTACTCCAGGCCTCGGACGCGTCTCCCCCGCCTCCGCGACGACAGCGGCTTGTGACGCTCAGCGAGAAGTAAGTGAATAAATTTGAGGTTTCGTGATTTCGTCAAACTCTGTCTCAATCGCAGCCTTTCGCAGGGCGGCGCGGGCGAAGGCGGCGTAAGATGGGTCTGGAGGGACCTCCAGCGCATCTCCTGCCGTGGCCTCGACGGATGTCGTGGTCGTGCCCAGGAGCCATGAGGCGACACCTAGCGGCCCAGCCAGCGATCTCGTGGCTGGTCGTGGTTCGCCGGATGCCGTCCTCACCTGGGAGGAGCTCTAGGTTGAGATGGGGCGCCTCCTCGAGGCTGGTGGTCACGGTGTTAGCCACGAGATCGCGGAGGCGAGGGCGGCGGCTGCGTCGTCGGCGAATGAGCGCGCCAATCGGCTGGCGCGTGATCTAGCGGAGGTTCGCGAGGACCTCCAGAAGATGAGGGAACTGGTGGCCGGCAATGAGCGACAACAGCAGGGGCTCGAGCACCGCATTTCGGAGCTTGAGAACAACTTGTCGGAAATCCGTGGCTCGTTGTGGGTCACATATACTGGTCTGCACCAGCTCGCCGGGGAGTGCGGTATCAAGTCTACCATCCCGGCGAATCCCGATGAGTTCTCGCTGATGTCTTCTCTTGCGGAGCTGGTGACGGCGATGGAGGAGATCCCCTCCAAGTATCCAGCCAGGATCGGAGAGGAGACGTCTAACGGGATCTACACCGGGGCGTGCCACGTCCTTGCGTGTGTGAGGCTGGCGCACCCTGAACTCGATCTGCGGAAGATCTTGGATCAGGGGGCAGTTAGCGACGCGCGTAAGGATGTGATGGAGGAGGTCGGCGATCTGGGGAGTCCGTCCTCCCGCTTTTTGAAGAGTAGGGTCTTAGCTCTCTTGTACTCTTTAGTCATGCCTTGTAAAACTTTTATTGGTTCCAACCGCCCTAGTGTGTGCGGTCATTGCCTTAGCTTTGTTTGGCATTTTGATCTCGAGTACTTTGTTGTCCTTTGTAGAGATGTTGATGTCGAGGATGTCCTGCGGCGCGGGCAACCTGAGTTGCTAGTGGTCGTTCCGTTACTTGCGTCCGAACCATATGTGCCGGAAGGCGATGTAGATCGAAGTTCGCCTGTGGAAACGAGCATGGCGGCGACTCCCTTAGGTTGGTTGTCTTTGTTACCATTTCCTTTGCCCTTCCGTCTGGATCGACTTGATTTGTTGTGTTCTCGGGAGAGAAGAGCAGCTTGACTTAGTCGTTTCCATGCTGAGCAGATCTCGAGAGTGCGCTTGTTGACCAGGACCGTCCCATCCAGTATTGGAGGACGAAGTTTGAGGTTGCGGAACTCGAGAGGACTATGCTGGAGGTGAGAAAGGATCAGGCCGTAGAGACACTTCGGGGTCGTGAGCTGTGGTTCAACTCGTATCTAAAGAGTTGCTGCACATCCATGTCGAGAGTCTGTAGAGAGCATCGAGTACCCCGTGGGGATCCCGAGGAATCGGCGGCCGGATACATCTCGTGGCTAAATGGGGCCTGCGCCCAGCTCGAAGGCATCGGTCAACGTATCGACGAGGCCTTGAAGCAGGAGTGTCGTCGCTCAAGCCGATATGCCGGGGGGCACGTGCTGGCCTGTATACGAGATCATCGTCCGCAGCTGCACCTCGAGTTCCTCCGCGAAGGGTTTTCTCGTTCTCGGAGAACTCCTACGGAGATAGATGGCCTGGCGAAGTCGATGGCGCCGCTGGCGGAGAAGGTTTTCCAGTCGATGGACTGGCGTTGGCCTTCCTGGTAGTCTCCATGTCCTGTGACAAATGTCTTTGGAAGAAGTGTAATATAGTTTTGGATTTTGATGGAATTGTAAGAAATACTTGTGGAATAGAAAAGAAATCTATCTAACTAAGCTTTCTTACTCTGGACGTTGTGTGTATGAGTGTCTTCTCACTTCGCAACTTTGATCAGTCGTTTGAGTTATACACTCTCCCTAGCCCCCAGCCTTGTCATCGGAGAATTCTTCTCGGAAGATAAGGTTCTTGGACCTTTGACCTGCCTCGGTTGAACAAGCACTGATCGTAGCCTCCAGCCATGAAGTTGGAAAGTTTATTTCCGATTACACGGCTTGGTTAATACGCACGGCGAGAACTCTTACACGACTAGATCTTACATGGTCTTTCGTCTCTACAGGATATAACAAGGCCTTATCGGCTCTGGTCGTCCCCAGCCGAAGTTCCCTTAGGTTCCTCGGAGGCCTTGTCAAGACGACGTAAAGGGACATGAGGATAGGTTTCAACGCTAGGTGTCATCTAGGTAAGGGATTATCGGGAAGGAACACTTTGATTGTCGTCTGTACCTGAAAAATAGGC